CTAGCATTACACCTAACGAGACCGTCAAAAATATGTATACTGTTATTGAAGTTGACAAAAGGATTTTTTATTAATATACTGAATAAATTAAATCATTTATTAGCATCAAATGAGAACAACAAAAATTAATACAATGCAATGCAAGAAGGCCAATTTTGTTAGGAGTTATTGAGCGTCGATCTCAAAAATATCAGACTTAATTTTATGCCTGTTTATTATGAGGTCATCAAAAAGTCATTATTTACGTATTTTCCTGACTGATTGACGTTTGGATCAACGCACAGCTCAAAATCTGATCGTAGAAAAGTTAAGTCTTAGAGGGTTTGTTTATTGGACCAACAACCAAGAATTTTTTTCAATTGTTTCTCGGTTTCATGTACTCAAATAAATAATGTTGCCATATATATACAATTAAAATTTCAAGTTTATTGAAAATAATTTATCAAACAGAATATTGCCTGTAGTTTATGCGAGTTGTACCTATTAATTTAAATAAAACGTTTCATTTCAACGTTTTCAGACGTAGCAAGGTGCAGCGCAACGAAACGTCGGGCCGTAGTAATATAACTTGTAGTTAAGTTTACTAATACATTTCGCGTTTCGAACCGTTAAATTGTTTTATTCAAATAGTATAGAGCGCGCGCGAGAGGTGCATCTATTAATAGATTAAAAAAATTCGACGACAACGTGTAAGACACGGCAGCTCAATTGGTTAGAGCAGAGTAAAGAGCCGTTAACAAAAATAAGACCTAACACAGAACGCGTTACCCATTTGGCTAATAAGTCAATCAGTCTGTTATCTCCAGTAAACGCGTGACGAGTTGTCAAACGCCACCGCATTAGGGGGCTTCCCCGATAAGCCGCCCTTCATTTACGTCAAAGATCGATTACCCTAATTTCGTGGTAAGTATCTCGTGCTGCCTATTTATCCGTATCTAAGTTGCCTTCACCGTTTTGATAATATTTAACCTCAAAAATTGGCCAAGTGCGCCTCGCACACGTTCTTTCGATTTTGCAGCTGATTTGCTTTATCTGTTGAAATATCAATTGACAAAAGCATTCTTTCTTGTTAGCCACAGACTAGATAAATTTGATTTACACACTTATTAAATACTGTCTAGTTTACACATTACATTTAAATGTGACACTGTAACGGTTTAAAACGCGAAACATAGTTAAACTTATTTGAAAATTATTTTAAGTAAGGCTCGACGTTAAGGATGCATCCAAGCAGCTGTGGTCACGGGGTGACTAGTAAATATTTTTTGCTTTAAAACGTTACAACGTTTTATGCAACAGCCCTATGTTTTATTAGTTACGGAACGCTAAAATCAAGGATTTTTCCCATATATTCCCCTAAGGTGCGCGCGGATTTAATGTTTCTGGTGGAGACTTTATGGGGTCTGGCGAAGTTTATGGGAATCTGGTTTTGACATCTGTTATTCGTAGCTATAAAGTTTTGAAATTCGTTCGAGTTTAGAATATTAATAAAGCTATAAATTGCTAAGACGTTCGTTGACTTCGACTAAAGAGAGTTGAAGAAATACGAGGCTCGAGAGATCCTAAGTTCGAATCACGGGAAAACACACAATAGTCTAGGTGGGCAGAGCTTAATCGAACAGTAAATCGGGCGCTAAAGTAGGGACAAACGGGATTTCACACTTTCCACATCGTTTTTAAATATATTTTTAAAACTATTAAGTTTAACACTGTGTTAATTGTTGTAATTTTAGTTTTATAGAGTAAACGGATAATGTCGTGTTATTTAAAAGAACACCACATCATCCGTTTACTATGCAGACTGCTAGACACACAAACGACTAAGAACAATAAGATAAAAATAATCTTTCTATCCCTTTTTGGAAAAAAAAATGACACTGGCGGGCCTGAACCGGCGTCCACAGCCATCCGTGCTGCTTGCAATTAGCCACCTTTAGTTATTAATTACGGATATTTATTTGACTTTACACCTTTCTAAATATTTATTATTAAACTTACTTTACTAAATTCTCTATAACAAATTTAAGCCACGATATATAAAGGCAATGCCGTAAAGTAATCCATGCAACATGCTGTGGCCATAACTTAACTTCGGCTGCAGCGAGCGCCAAGATTGGCTTGGCATCGATTCGTTACAATATTTTGTTTATTAGGCCACTGTAACTTTATGTAGATCCCGACTTCTTTAACTCTTTTATAAAAAATATAAATATTATATATTATCAACATTAGTTAAATGTTCAATTTGCCTATTACCTCAAATCTTATGTTTTTAAAGTTTTTTTTTTTATGTAGGTACCTTAATTTAAATACTGACTATAGTTTACGCGAGTAGTACACATTTAAATAAATTACTTTAACGGTTTAAAAAGCGATATATTAGTTAAACCTATTTGCTTTGCACCAGCCGTGTTTACGGCTTACTTTATTTTTAATGACCACCTTGGTTAAAAAGCAAATTAACTAATATATTTAAATTTTTAAACCATTTATTAAAATCGTTTTTCGATTTATTTCGATCAGGCAGAACAGATTAACTAGTTATCATTAAATGAAATTCAAATTATCAAAATGAGTGAAAAAATGTCTGTCCATTCAAAAATGTATATACAATGACAAATATGTTTAATGGTTATTTTTATCCTTCGAATCATGTAATGGGTTGTACACGGCAATATTGACATACTGATACCAAATAACCCTTCGACTGCGAATAGCTTCACGATGTGGCAAATTAAAAGGTCATTGACCAGAAAATTGGAGCTCGCCCGGACCTGAGATAGGAACTTTGATTAATGTTATCAAGGACGTTATCTAGCCCCGGAGATTCGGGTCAACCCTTTCGTTGAAAATTTTTATCCCCGCGTAATTACTTTTGTTTAGATTAACACTTTTTGATAAATTTCGTTTATGTTTGTTTTGTAATTGTAAAAGTTGTGGCACTGTTTTGCACTCGAGTGTAAATCATAATCATCTATTATTTCAACCTAATAATATTTATGTAATAACTAGCTCGTGCCCGCGACTTCGTGTACACAGGATTAGGCCTAGGATTACCTAGTATCGCGCATTTAAACGAAATGATGTCTATCATATCATACATTACATAATTATGTGTAATTAACGTTTATGGCAGCGCACGCCAGAATAGCTTGCAGAAAGGTAGAGTTTTTCCTAGTTACTTAAATAACACTTAATATCATATTTAGGACAGCTCACATAATATCTTTATAAATTGTAGGCTATGTGTTATTCTGATGTGATAAGCTATATTATTGGAAAGTTTAATTGAAATCCATTCAGTAGTTTTTGCGTGAAAGAGTAACAAACATTATTTTTCTGTAATTGTACTTCATTGACAAATTAAAATTTGAACTAGCTATCTTAGCTTAATTTACTACAGTACATATTAAAGTTTGGCTGTACTACTTCTTAAAGCTCTAAACTAAAATTTTACAATCAAAAATCTAACAAGACATTAAAAAATATGGTTACATTAGTCTACAAACTGAACTATATACATGCAGTAAAAATAGTTATATTCCAGCCTATTTTAAGTATTGGAATTGTAAATATTAACATTTTATACACTTTCATTATTTACGTCTATATTAAACCCATCATAATCTATACAGGAACTTGGCCGACGACAGATTTGTAACAAAAATAAAAAATATCTCTGCCATAATTTTCTTTGAACGGTTAAGTGTATTAATAAATTGTGTTAATGACTAATTTATTTTATGTTTCCTGTAATCTGACGAGCATTCATCATAAGTATCGCGTCATCAGCTCTCGAAATAGACAACTGCTTGATTCTTTGCAAATAATGATGTCTTCTTAAAGAAAAAAAAAATCTAATATCGACGTACTGGTTTAATAGAAAAAATATGAAAATTTATTATTTTTTATTTTGAGCCCCCAAGAAAGATAATAAAGGTATTTTATACAGCACTCAAACAAATTAATAAAATTGCAGCTAAATATGTATGTAATAGGGGCTATATTAGAGGAACTATAATTGCGCAAGAGTTGCACATATAAAAGAATTGAGAATTTTTTCCATTAATACTGAACGATGTGGTTGTGGCTGGTGTTCTTCGTGTGTGTCTTAATTTTATTCTAAAATGAAGTATAGCTGATCTACTTTGAAAACTTAATTAGGATAATTGGTATTGTGGATTGCAGTCTCCGGGAAGTAACACATTTATAACAATCCGTCACACCTTTCCTCAACTTCTGACTAATCAAAATAGCGCTGACATTTCATTTTGACACCTGTCCAAATATGAAACCTCGACCAATTGCTTCACCTTAGCACAGTGCAATCAGACCAGTTGCTACATTTTCAATGTATACGCTTATAAATTCGGGCCTCGTGGAACTTGAAATGACTTATAGAATGATCTACGGTTAATTTATATAATCTATTACCACCATTAACAATTATATATGTTGAAGCATTGTCGGATAGAATACTCAAAATAGACGTTTTCACGTACGGTACACAAGACAATTTGAAAGGGTCCAAAACGAATCTCCTATCCGGTCGATTTGGTATACTCGATGGCAGAACCGTGACATATACATGTACAATTGAATTTCTTACATTTTGTATTTTGAAGATAAAATAAAGCTACCCGCTTTATCTAATAAACTTTGCAATGGAAAAATGAAAAAGTTAAATGCTCAGAATCTTAAATTTATATAAAACGTTATTAATTTAAACTATTTTAGGGTTAACGTGTTTGCTATTAAATTACTGCTTCTTGACGGTGTATATACGCATCATCAGCTATTAAAATGTTTTTAATGTTAAATCAAATTAAAAATCACAAATACCGTCCGTCCAACTGTTTCTCTCACTCTGCACCAGACGAAACTAATTCATCTTTTCTTTTTCAGTTATTATAGCGTGACAGACGGTTCAAGATGGCCGCGCGGACGCGCCAACGTCGTGTATAGTGTAGTGCAGTGAAGTGATAGTGATGTGAGTGAATATGTCCGAAGAGAGGTCGCGGCGGTTGTCACAGATCTTCGACCCGCTGTCGAGGTTCACAGACCACAGTGGGGCGGGTCAGTCGGCCAGTACGCCGAACAGCCCTCGGTTGTTGCCGAGGCGGGCTAGGGATGGACAGCCCCCGCCACCCAGGTACAACGTGTTTTCACTTACTATAAACATTTTCTACTTCGCATGTTTGTGATGTGGTTGGATGTAACTTGCATACTTGTTTTTTTATTGATTGTGTTAGTGTCCTGATTATTATGTAAATAACTTAAATACAAGACAGAAACATTTTTAAAATTTCAGTTTAGTCTGTAGCTTGCGCGAGTAGTACATCTTTAAATATTTTTTTTTACAGGTTGAAATGAGAAATATATTAGTTTAATTAGTTAAATTGTTTAAATATTTAGTTTTTATTATTTTTTGATTACAGATTTTATAATACAAACAGGGCCGTAGTTAAAGTAAATCTAAAGATAAGTTAACTGTTATGTAACGGAAAATGTTAACATCTGAAACTCGAATGTTAAGTCTTCCAAGTTACAGTTTTATTAGATTTTAGAACTTTCAACATTTTATCGCTTATAAAGTCAGACAAATACATAATTTAAACTTAAAAAACTTGTGACGGTTTTTTATACACAATAATTATGTTAAATACATTATCATTTTTAATTATTACACATCAGGTACTTAAATGTAATACGGTATTAATAGAAAACAATTTTCAGTAGCAGATTAAATTGTGAACGGTTTACACACACTTAATAACAGTGAAGCACTCATCCACGTTTTATTGGAAATTAATTATTAATTATATGAGCTAATTACGCGCACTTTGTGATTCATGAGGGAAGCTTAACGACTGATTGGATGTCGTGATAATATAATTTTCAAAAATAATTTTCTCATAAAGACTAATAATAATTCTGTACTTCATTCTAACCTCATACTTGTATTTAATCAATTTTGTAATTAATAATACCTTAAGCACAAATTTAACTTTTTAAATAAACAAACGTCGCTCTTTGGTGTAATGGTAGCAATATGAGGCTAACAACCAACGGCTCACGGGTTCGATGCCCAACGGATCAAATGTCTCTCTTTCAATCACTTTAAAATATTTGAAACACGTTGGACTTCGTCTGGAAAATTGGATATTTATTGGGAAGTAGGAATGTCAAAATGCCCTCACGAACAACCGTCTGTAGATGAAACAGACGTCAAGTTTAATCGTGATTCGGTTTCAGTCTGTGGATTTCCGAATATCCAAAACCAAAATAGGTTGACAGCGCTTCTTGTTTAGATGTTATATGTTTATGGTATCTTACCCAACATCAAGTGATTCCCATGCTTGTCTATACTACTCCAGCATAAAAAAAAACTCTACCCTCCTCACAAAACTACGATTAATTAAAATTATGTTACTTAACATCTTTTTAACAAATAAAAAACAAATGTTTGTGGGTAGTATAATAATTTGCTCAAAAAATAATTACATACGTTCCTAAAAAAGGTTAAACAAAAAATATGACCGCGAAAGAACGAGTAAATACGTAAATTGATTGTATTCCTTACATTAAATATGTTTTAATTTGTATACTTTAAGTTAATGGTGATACATTTTTTAAACTTATTGCTCAAGAAATAAGTATTTTAGTATTCAAATTTTACGTTCGACACACAGATAAAACTTCGATTTTCATGAATAAGTTACTAGACCGACATATTTCACATGCATTGTTTTAACAGAGCGAGATGAAAATCGAAAGAAAGCAATTTATCTAGAGCGAAAGAATAAAGTTGGTAAAAAATTGCCAGAGCTAAAGTACGGCGGTTGAACGACCTCGGCAAATGAACTAGAATCGCGAATTGATTATAACCCACTATTATTCCAAGATTCTTTACGGAATGAAAGTTTTTTAATTAGTCGATTTGCTTCGCCGCGTGGGCGTGGGAGTAAAAAAGTAATCAAAACAGCGATACGTATAATGCAAGTACTACGTATTTTAAAAATGCACATAAATGTTCGTTATTATTGTATAGAAGAATTGTTTTTTTTCTGGTAATTAAAAATATATATATATATATACTATTTTTTATGATATAGGGAGACCTTAACTTCATGCTTATATGAAGTTATTCTAGACTTCATAATCAAGATGTGCCGTCGATCTACATTGGCTTTGGATATTCGGAAATCCACAGGCAGAAACTGAAACGCGATTAAATTTGACGATCTTTTTTATCCGGAAATAATTACCATATTCCTACCACCAATTGTATATCCATATTTCCAGACGGAGTGCAACATTTTTGGATAAAATATAAATTTATTAGAAACATGTTGAATCGGAGAGCGAACCCACGACCAGTTGATTATGAGCCATACGTAGCTACCATTACGCCAACGAGCCAGTCAAATAATATGTACTGACTGTATAAGAATTAAAACCTATAAACTAACAATTTGTGTCAAGTAAGGAATGTAAGTATTTAAGCTACCAATAATTCTTGAAATACATCTTAAGTAAGTATTTTTCATAACAGAAAAATAATACTTACGATGACTACGTTCGTTGCTCCTCATTTAAAGCAATGTTTGAAGTACATTCGGATCCCGAGAAAAATATTGATTCTTCATCTTTTTTTAATAAGTTTAACTTCTATACGCGATGTATATTTCACGGTTTAAAACGCGATATACAATTAGTTAATCTTATTTGATTAACGTTTAACCTATATATATCGCGTTTAAAACCGTTAAATTGATTTATTTCAATGAATACTTCCCCTGATAATTGTTTTCCTTCAGGCCGTTCGCACACTCCTCCCGTCTGGACCCTTTGGAGTACGAGCTGGCTGCAGCCCAGGACACCATTAACTGGCAGGAGCGATGCTTGGAGCTTCAGCTTGAGCTGCACAGGAGTAAACACCAGGCCACGCGGGTCAGGGATATGCTACGAGATAAGGTAAGGACATTTTATCTGATAATATTGTCTTGGTCGTGCGATTTCAAAGTGTTTTTATTATATTAGCAAAAACGTAGGTTATTTTTGAGGAACTGTTATTTATAAGCTTGTGTTGACTGGAAGAGATCCCTTTATGGGGATAAGGCGGCCTGTTGCACTTAACAATACGTTTTTTTTATTATTTTTATGTTAGGAATAAAGAGTAAATTAAAAAAGGGTCGCAGATCGTATGTTTATATTACGAGGTGTCAAAAATTATTTTTTCTTAAAATTCTCATATTATATCAAAATAACCTTTAACAGTTCGGGATTACACATAGAGTAATTGAAACAGTAGCGCTTAATGTTGCTTATAGTTCCACACCATTACGACTCTTGTTCTCGTAGTCAGTGGCCTGTGTCTAATCATACATTGTGGACTGCTTCAAGACTCTGTATTAAATTCATTCGACTAGAAATATATGGCACAGATATAAACAAACTTCAGATAGGTCTTTTATCATAATATCAATATTGTGTTGATATTGACTTTTTGACGCCATTACATAAGAAACGCCTTTAACTAAAATATTGTCGGTACTCCAATACATTTTTAATAATCAATTGGTATTCAGATTTTGCAGCCAATTTATAGAACACCTAACTTATGTGAATTATATAATTTTAATAAATTGTGTAAGCCTGTTGCGGCCATCGTTCAGAATATCATTGTCTTTCAGGCTGTTCGGCCTACGAAACGTTGAGAAGCTCTTCTCGCTCTCGTCGGCCGAAAACGGCCCGAAAGACTAAATACCTATGTTTTATGTCTAAATACCTTTGTATTATGCTATATAATTTTGTTATATGTAGTACCGGTACTAATTATTAGACCACTACGGATTTTAAATACCTAATGCCAAAAAAGGACAAAGGAAAAGTTACTTTTTAGTACAATCCGGCTTTCTCCTTTTATCAATAAATTCTCTCGTTAATCTCCGATTAATTAAACGACGATTTGAAACGAATAGTAATTGCCGATTTGACATTAAAATCGTTGAAAGTCCGCGAGGCGCGGCTTAGGAAACTTTTAATTAAAGAGTTGAAATTGTTAGCGATAAAGTTGAACGATTGTCAACATTAAGTTTGACGGAGCCACATTTTGTGATGGTAATTTAACGGATTTTGTCTTTTAGTTATTGTATTGAACCGTTAGAAATTAAACGATCTAGTGAGTTAATTATTTTTTAGCCGCACGCACCACAACACTACACTACAATACAGGGTGTTACAGTAAACATTGATTATACGTTAAAGTATTTTTAATTACCGGAAGTATATGTATGTTGAGTATACACAGTTATATGAGGAAAAAGAAAAAAAGGGGAAAAAAAAAAAAAAAAAAAAAAAAAAAAAAAAAAAAAAAAGGAAAAAAAAAAAAAAAAAAAAAAAAAAAAAAAAAAAAAAAAAAAAAAAAAAAAAAAAAAGGGGGGGGGGGGGGGAAAAAAAAAAAAAAAAAAAAAAAAAAAAAAAAAAAAAAAAAAAAAAAAAAAAAAAAAAAAAAAAAAAAAAAACAAAAAAAAAAAAAAAAAAAAAAAAAAAAAAAAAAAAAAAAAAAAAGGGGAGGGAAAAGAGGGGGGGGGGGGGGGGGGGGGGGGGGGGGGGGGGGGGGGGGGGGGGGGGGGGGGGGGGGGGGGGGGGGGGGGGGGGGGGGGGGGGGGGGGGGGGGGGGGGGGGGGGGGGGGGGGGGGGGGGGGGGGGGGGGGGGGGGGGGGGGGGGGGGGGGGGGGGGGGGGGGGGGGGGGGGGGGGGGGGGGGGGGGGGGTTTTTTTTGTGCTTGTTTTTAAAACCCCCCGCGCCCCCCCCCCCCCGCCCCGCCCCCCCCGCCGCCGCGGCCCGCCCGCCCCCCCCCCCCCCCCCCCCCCCCCCCCGGGGGGCGGCCCGGGGGGGGGGGGGCGCCCCCGCGGGGGGGGCCGCCCCGGGGGGGGGGGGGGGGGGGGGGGGGGGGGCCGCGGGCGGCGGGGGGGGGGGGGGGGGGGGGGGGGGGGGGGGGGGGGGGGGGGGGGGGGGGGGGGGGGGGGGGGGGGGGGGGGGCGGGGGGGGGGGGGGGGGGGGGGGGGGGGGGGGGGGAGGGGGAGGAGGGGGGAGAGAGGGGGGGGGGGGGGGGGGGGGGGGGGGGGGGGGGGGGGGGGGGGGGGGGGGGGGGGGGGGAGGAAAAGAAGAAAGGAGGAGGGGGGGGGGGGGGGGGGGGGGGGGGGGGGGGGGGGGGAGAGACACCGGCGGGGGGGGGGGGGGGGGGGGGGGGGGGGGGGGGGGGCGGGGGGGGGGGGGGGGCGGGCGGGGGGGGGCGGGGGGGGGGGGGGGGGGGGGGGGGGGGGGGGGGGGGGGGGGGGGGGGGGGGGGGGAGGGGGGGGGGGGGGGGGGGGGGGGGGGGGGGGGGGGGGGGGGGGGGGGGGGGGGGGGGGGGGGGGGGGGGGGGGGGGGGGGGGGGGGGGGGGGGGGGGGGGGGGAGAAAAAGAAGAAGAGGCCGGGGGGGGGGGGGCGCCCCCCCACACCCGAGAGGGGGGGGGGAAAAGAAAAAAAAAAAACCCCAAAAAAAAAAAAAAGAGGGGAGGGGGAGGGGGGGGGGGGGGGGGGGGGGGGGGGGGGGGGGGGGGGGGGGGGGGGGGGGGGGGGGGGGGGGGGGGGGGGGGGGGGGGGGAAAAAAAAAAAAAAGGGGGGGGGGGGGGGGGGGGGGGGGGGGGGGGGGGGGGGGGGTTTTTTACCCCCAAAAAAACGCGGGGGGGGGGGGGGGGGGGGCGGGGGGGGGGGGGGAAGGGGGAAAAAAAAAAAAAAAAAAAAAATAAAAAAAAAAAAAAAACCCCCCCAAAAAAAAAAAAACCCCCCCGGGGGGGGGGGGGGGGGGGGGGGGGGGCCCCCCTTCCGGGGGAAAAAGGGGGGGGAGAAGGGGTGTTTTTTTTTGGGGGGGGGGGGTAAAAAAAAGGGGGGGAAGGGGAAGGGGGTTTTTACCCCCCAACGAAGTGGGTGCGGGTCAGCTAGTTATATATATTTTTACTATACCGAATTAAAAAGTTGACAGTTTAGAGGCGAGATTTAGTGAGATTTTGAGAGAGATTTAATCGAAATATACTAGCTGGAGATGACTAAACGCCTTGAAATCACAAACTTAAAGTATCATAGCATACTGTCAAAATAATAATATATATTTTTTTTAAGCCGGTAAAAAAGTATGAACTAAAATAATTCAGTCGATTCTCCTTTTAACGAATCGCGATATTTTCGCACGTGTGACACAGATTAAACAGCACACAGAGACTAACTGCTATTAAAACTTTACAGCCAAGGTTTATAGCTTGGCGTTAATTTAATAAGAAATTTTCATATTAAAATAATGTGTATGTTTATAGCTGATATAACTTATATTTACAGCATATTAAAATATTGTTTTCATCGCGTTAAATTAAAAGGCAGGTCAACACAGTTACGGTTTCACTGAAAATCAGTGTTGTAGCGTAGTTGTTGCTGTGAATTATGCTGTTGCAAGACCAATTTTTAATACTCACTTATAATTTTATATTTACTATTTTCCAGTATTTTATTAAATGAGTACTAAAGAAAAATGTTTATTATTGTTATTAATAATAATAATTATATTAATATGACGCACATTTTTTTACTACTTATTGATATGGCATTCTATTTAATTAAAGAATGAGCACACTGATAGACAAGAAAACATAAATATGTGACGACTATGCAAATTTCTCCAAATAGTAATAACGAGAAACAGATTAGCAGAGATAGAAGAATGGACTTTGACATGAGGGACACCTTTCATCCTCCGCTCGTTACCATTGCTGTTGTAAAGGATCCAAAACGCCAGAGCGTAATTTAAATAAATCAAAAAAAGATTATCTTGTAACGTATTTCGCGTTTAACAGTTAAAAGCGTTATTTAATTTAAAAATCGAAAATAAATTGAAAAAATTTTAGTACTTAGTACGCAAGTGTTAAGGTTGAAATTACACTGAGCGAGAGGTGCATGTATCAATATGTTGAAAAAATTCGACGATGAGGTGTAGGATTCGGTAGCTCAATTAGTAGAGCAACAGCACGGAAAGTTGACGATGCCGGTTCAAGTCCTGCCCGAGTAGAAAATTTTTTTCAATTTATTTTCGATTTTTAAATTATATAGTGCCTTCATGTGCAATAACATGTGAAAAATATTAATGTTTTCAAAGTTAAAAGTGTTTTATATATAATGGTTATATTTTAGTTTTACATTCAAAGCAGAGTTGAACAGCTACTTTTTATATTTATCAATGTTTTTAGGGATACGATTCTGTTCAAATTGATCTAGTTGTTACAGATATAGTAGGCATTTCCAGAGATTAAAAAAACTTAATAAATATATTATTTTTATTTAAATACCAGCTTTTTAATGAACTCGGGAAAGACATCATAGATAAACTCCTTTTCTAAATAATATATTTATTAATTGGTTGCCTCTGTCCTCATCTACTCTGTTCAAATCTCAATAGGGTGATACATCTTGTACCGGCGCTTGCAGTATCGATAAATCAGTCCACCCCAAATAGTTGTGAATAAAACAAATATTTTAGCTTCGCGAATTGATCACACATATAACGTGTCGGCTATGATTTACGTCTGTCTATACTCGTTCTGATATACTATTGCTGATTAATCTTTTCCTGCGACGTTCTGCGAGCATTACTTTGAATCTCGAATCAAAATATATTTCAGTAACGGTGCTTCGAAAACCGGTGAAGTCTTTATAGTGATTACCTGAAACAAAGAGAAAGATGGTAGCAAGATGCGCTATAGCCCTATTGTGGTTTTGGACATTTGGAAATCCACAGACTGTATCCAAAACGCGGTTAAACTTTTTTATTTTTTTTATTCTAAACTTGACTGCAATCATGTGTGGACGGTGGTTACATGTGACCCGGACCGAATTCCGATATTCTTACCACCCGTTTAATATCCAAATTTCCAGACGAAGTTCACCATGTTTCCGAAAAGTTATAATTTGATTAGGAAAAGGTTGGTTGGTAGCCATACATTCCTATCATTACATCAACCTTACCTTACCTTAACCTACCTTACCTTATGAAGTTAATTATATGTTTATTTTACGCGCTCAAAAAACACATAATCAACTTCATAAGGTTTATTTGTATGTAAAGACATAGTTAACGAGGTAGAATCTATGAAAAATTACTGTAAAACAGTGAGCGTAAAATCTCTTACAATTTAGAGAAATAAACTGCTAATGGAATAGTGGTCGGTACGTCGCGTTCAGCTAACTGCTTAGTACGTGGTGCAGCTAGAGCGGAAACAAAACGCTGCAGAAAATTATAAAATAACTCCGTAATTTGATGTTGCAAGCAT